TGGGAACAGTATCAGGGCTGGAGGTGGGGGCTGGACTTTATCCAGCTGTGCCCTGCTGGCCTTTGGGCAGTGTCTCCCTGTGACTGGCCACCCAGGGCCTGGGGCAGCAGCCCAGCCCCAGGTGGAAATAAAAGTGGGGATCCTGTGCTCCTTTTTTGTCCTTCAGGCTCTCAGGGCCAGGGGTGGGGCACTCATGGAGTCACAGGCTCTGCATCGTGGGGCTGTCCTCGGGAAGGTTTTACCAGCTGGGTCCTGGAGCCATCCTGGCCCATCAGGTGCCCTTCCTACCTCAAGCAGCTGGCTCCACCTCCATTAGGGGTCAAAGCAAGAGCTCCCCTTGTGCAGCCTAGTGCTCTTTGCTGCGTCCCGTGGAATCTGGGAGCCAATGTTGAGCATTCCATTCCGGTCAGGAGTAATGGTTCTGGGCTTGCTTCACCCTGCAGGGAACTCTTCCACTGTCCCCTTACCCTATTGCCCACTTTGACATCCCCCTGCACCCCTTCAGATGCCTGGGCTCCTCCCGGACCATGTGTACATCCTCGTGGTAAGGGATGTGTGGTCCCTGGGTGCAAGGTGCCACAGCAGGCTGCACTCTCACTATAGGAGAGGGAATTGGGTGATTCCTCAGACAGTGCCCTCAACATCCTCTTGTTGGGACCTGGGGCAGCTGCTGTCCCCTGCTGTGTTCTCCATGCAGCTAGATCCCTGGGGGGAGGGGCAGGTGGGCCAGAACCATGGGAAGCTGGGGGTAGGGGCAGGAGTCCCAGAGCCCTCAAGAGCCCTGCAGTGTGGAGGACCCCAGAAACCTTGGACGCTTTTGGGAGGGTTCTACAGCAGTCCCTCAAGGCTCTTGGAAAGGAGTCCCAGAGCCCTTGAGAGCATTTAGGTGGAGGCTCCAGTTGGGACATACAGAGCACTTGAGTGGTGTCTAAAGCACTCTGGTGCCCTTATGGGGCTCCAAGCCCTGAGGGTTAGGTGAAGCACGGGTTGGAGATTATAGAGCATTAAGGAGCACTGGAGTAGGGAGGGAGCACTCCAGGACCCATGGAGCCCCAGGGAATGGGGGCCAAGCCGAAGTGGGAGGTCTCTGGAGTCTGAGGGGAACTCAGAGAGGTGTGGGGGGTGGAGCCCTGCGAGAGGCCTAGAGCCCTTGGGAGGCAGGCTATTTCAGAGTCCGAGGGCAGGAGGCTTGCAGCCCTTGCACTTCCTAAGAGCATTAGGGTGAGGATTCCTAGAGCCTTCAGGGATCTTCTGTCAGGACCTTGGCCGTGAATGGATGTGGGAGCCCTTTCAGAATGAATGAATGAAAAGGGGGAGAGCATGTCACATGAGTGTTGTTTCCTTCCTTCCCCTTCTTAACTCATCCCAGACACCACAGTAGTTGTCAAGCACACCCAGCCACCTCTCCTTTTCTCCCAACCTGATCCAGGACCTGAGGCCTAGAGAGAATCATTCCTTTCTGAAGCCTCAACATCTCTTCTTCCTCTTTGGATACCCCAAACCAGCTGCCCTTCTCATACTGTCCCTTTTCTCCACACCAGTTACTACTCCAGAGCTTTGGGATATCAACCTGGCCACCACCCCATATGGGTTCCTGCTTGGCTCCACTTCTCTGCCCAGTGCCCAGCAGGCTCTACTACAGCAATCTGGATAGTGAGTGCTTGGTGGGGGAATTGTTCTCAGAGGTGAGTTCAGTACCTGATTTGCAATCAGCTGCTGAAACAAGAGGCTGTGTCACTGTATCCTCCTCCGATCCTGGTGGGGACCTGTTTGTTCTGCCTCCCAAGTCCAGGCTCATTGATGGGACCATCAGGTCCCTATCGTCAACCTATGAGGAGGTACCAACCTCTGCCCATGCCCAGCACCTGCCATGTACCGGCCAGGTCTCAGCCCTGCTGCAGGGCCAACCTTCAGTCCCTTACACTGGGTTTGGGATTGGGATCATGAAGGACAGAGGGCAGGAGCCTGGGGAGTCCATGAAGCAACTGGCTGGGCTCTGGGGGCCAAGGTACGTGGGAGGGGCCTGCAGCAGTGAAACAAGGGAGGCTGAGGTTGCATGAGTGGTGAGAAAATTAGAAGTGACTCATTCCTTTCTGCCTGTTTTAAATGCACAAGAACCATGTACAAGGGGTCTTCAAAAAGTTCATGGAAAGATCTGTATTTTAATTATATTTTCCCATGAACCTTTTGAAGTACCCGCTTATTTTTAGGATCACGCACACACACACACACACACACACGAGAGACACTAGGATGCAGCAAAGAGAAATGGTCAAGAGCAGACAGGGAGGATCCTAGTCTCAGGTCTGCCACAAACTCACTGTGTGGCCCTAGATAGCCAAGAGCCCCTGAAGGCTCAGGAGCCCATGTGCAAGCACCGCATGGATGCTGTGCCAGGTGAGAAGCTGGACTGAGTCCCACCGCCTGCAGCAAGGAGCAGATCAGAGGCAACAGGGGCCGATGCCAAGGCCCCACCCCATGCTGGGCCTCTGCTTTCCCCCTGCCAGGTGTCTCTGTGCTTTCCCGCCCTCTGCTGGCAGCGTAGAGCCAGGTGTGCAAGGTGCCACATGGCATTCTATCCTAGTGAGTTAGCACTCAACTTTTAATATATGTAAACTTTGAAGATTATGAAATAAAAACCCAAGAGGTAAGCAAGAACACAGACAGATGAAGAATTTGATTACCCAGAGATGATGGGGAATTTGTCTTTGAAGCTTTTTCCCCCATGTCATGAAATAAGCAGCAATTCCAGGAGCTGAGGAGTGTTCCACTGGCTATGTGCCCTTAGATGGTGAGCTTGGCTTTGGCTTTTCTGGTTAAAACACCACAGACTACCTGTATGCTGCATTTCCAACTGGGTTCTCTCCACACACTTTGTTGTACTATAGTTATTTTTATAAGTAGTCATCCCTCAGTATCTTGGGGGATTGGTTCCAGGACACCTACCCCCTCCGCCCCCCCCCGGCCATACCAAAATCCACAGATGCTCAAGCCCCTTATATAAAATGGCATAGTATTTGCATATAATCCATGCACATTGTAAACACTTTTGGGAATGCGTTAAGGAATAAAACCCACAAAGAAAACACAAACATATCTATGGATAGCATTTGATCCCTAACCCAAGACCAAAACAAATGCAAAGCCAGACACTGATGGTTGAGATCCAAGACCAGAGGCCCCATGCCATGGGAGCCCAACCCCTCCCCCAGCAGGAAGAGCCAATACATTAAAAATAAATGGTCTTTTTATTGTGTCCACGAAAACAAAGGGTGGCCTTTGGCCAACAAGGTGACAATGAACAAGAGGCATGCATGACAACAACCATATTCTCTGAAGGAGTGAGGTCTTGCCCTCTCAGGCCTTAAGGGTCACAGGCAAGCAGGGCCAGGAGGCTCCAGAGGAAGGCAAGCTGAGGACCACCATACCCTGGAGGGCCTGAGTCTGCTGCCTCCCTGGCAGGACAAGGCAGGGAGAACAAGCACTGCCTTGGGCTGGGCCCAGGCCCCTCCAAGCTAGAACACAAAGCAAAGCCCCCACCCCCCACCCCCATCAAACACTGCCGAAGCAGTCAGCCAGGACTTCTGAGAAGACCTGGCTCCGAAGCCAAGATCCTCAGGGATCCATCCAGAAGGGGTTGCCCTCCTCAAGCTGCATGGAGTAGTAAACAAAGAGGAGGAAGGCAACTAAGACCAGGAAAAGCAGCAGCTGGCCCCAGAGCGGGACCTGGCGATCCTGGCCCAGACCGGCCCTAGGGGCCTGCTTTTCTGGCCGGATGGCACGTCGGGTGAGCCATGAAGGGGAGGAAGATGAAGATGAGGACACAGAAGAGGTGGAGGAGGATGTAGGATAATAGGACAGGCCCAGGGAGCTCCTGGAGATGTTGGAAACGGGGCGGTAGTGTGCGATGCTCTGGTAGGCACTGTCCCGGCCATACACGGGGCGTTCCCTGAGGCAAAGGAGGAGAGCAAGTGGGCCAGGAGAACCTGGGCCCAGAACCAGTCCCTGTCCCTAGGCCTCTCCACTACTCACCTATCCTTGCTGTCCTCTTCAGAAGAAGAGAAAAGACTGTCATCACGCATCTGCAGAAGCGAGCCAGGGTGAGGAAACTGGTTGGCTGGATCACCATGGCCCTATCATATTCCTCAGTCCAAACTTCCTGGGCCAGCCCACTCAGACCATTGCTTAAAGGCCAGGGACCTGCCCCTTCCAGAACCATTCTGGGTCTCTGGCCTTTTGTCTGTGGGGCCTTGCCACTTGCTCAGTGACTGTCCTGGCTGCCTGTGCCCAGCACCCTCGTTTTTACCCAAGGATTCTCAGAAATAGCATGAGCCTAGATCTCAGAGCAGGGTCCAGGCCATGTGCCATCCCATGCACTCTAGTCAAATATTTCTGACGGCTCCTCAAAGTAGGGTTTGACCAAACAAGTGTCTGCTGACCCTAACTCTCCAGAGAGTAGCCACCATTTGCACCCAGTGTCCCTCCCTCCCCACCTCCCCAGCCCACCCTGCTGTGTTTGCACCCAGTGTCCCTCCCTCCCCACCTCCCCAGCCCACCCTGCTGTGTTTGCCCAAACCCAGCTATGATCCCCTCAGGCTGTATCAAAGTACAGGATGCCTCATAGCCAGCTCACCTGGTGATGGAAGGTGTCAGCATCTAAGAGTGAAGTCACCGGCTGGCGGAAGCCCTTGGATGTACCCACAGAATCGGCCTCCCCGGAAGTCCTGGTGGTCAGGTAACTCTCCTCATAGTACTCGTCATTACAGCCTTAGGAAGGGGGACATCGGTAGCAGAGGAGGCATCGATGTCCCCTGCCTGGCCCAATGTACCTAATCTGAATTCCATTTCAGGGCCTATGACAAAGTTTCTCCCTTCTAGAGCTGCTGAGAGGTGGTGGGGGTTGGGGCCTCAGGTTCTCCCTGAGACCGGGGTCCCCGAGGGAGTGGGGTGAAGGTATCAGGGTGCCCACCCCCTCCCTGCCTTACCCTTGCTCTGGTAAAGTAAGGCGTCCTCTTTCTTGGGCAGATCGTACATATCCGAGTCCACGGGTGCTGAATCCAAGTCTGAATGGGGGAGGGGGGACAGTCCATGTGCCCCCCCCAGGCTCTCCTCCCTTCTCCCCAGTACCCCTCTCGGCCAACGCCCTTGCCACACCCTCCCGACCCATCCTCCCCGTCGCCCATGCCCCGTTCCCATGGGCGGCCTTGCGGGCTTCTGGGGTTGGGTCTCACCCGAGAACCGATAGGAGGACGAGGAGGC